CATTTCACATGTTCCGAACTCTTCCCAAAGTTTCTCAAAATGAGATTTGCCCTTGCATAAATTGACCTGAGTTGTCTACGCATGTCTCTAGCATCATCTCCAGAGGCTGATACCCTCATGGTGTATTTCAGGTACTTGATATCATCAAAAAATTGTAATGGTTTGTTATACAAATATACAGAGGGAACTTGTTTATAATATTTTGGGGAAAAAGCCATATATTTTGTTTTTATTGGATGAAATATAATAAAATGGCGTGTACCATACTTCTCACATATTTCAACCAATTTACGAAGTGCCTTCGCCGACGGAGACATCAAGTCATCGGCGTAAAGTAAATGATTTATAGGCACACCTGCTAAATGGCATCCCACTTTTGCCAAACGAAACTTATCACTGAGCTCGTCTACATACAATGCAAATATTTTTTGTGACAGTCCTGGCAGATATCGTTAGTCAAATTAAAGCTACTTGTAACCACCGAAGCCCAACGTACACAGAAAAACTTGCTGCTATACCAAACCAGTGGAAAACGCACAATAAACAATGGAACACCTCTATTAATTACCTTAATGAACAATGTCAAATGATTCACCCGATCGAACGCTTTAGATGCGTCCATAAAACAAGCGAATACCGGCGACTTGTGGCGCTTATGAAATTCTATAATTTCCTTAAGTACAAAAATACAAATATCTGTCGAGTGCCTCGTCTTGAAGCCAAATTGATAGTCACTGGTATGAATATACTTCTCTAGGCGCGTTAGCAAACACGATTCTAACACTTTAGATAAAACGGACACAATTGCCACTGGTCTATAATTTTCTTTTGACGATACATCTTTGGACTTGTCTTTGACGATAGGAACAATAAGTGCATTCGACAAACTACCAGGCAGTTTTCCGTGCACAAGGAATGCAGTAAAACACAAACCAAGAATTGAATAAAGCTTAAATTGGCATGTATCACGTGTTCAGAGACAATTGCTTTACCTTTCTCTAACCTGTTCACCACCTGCGCGCATTCCTGTGACGTGACTTTCATGTCGTTGTCAAATTCAATGTCGTGTAGTGCTGTCGTCACGTTACCTTTTTTTTGCACAATCATTTACACAGTTGAGAAGGGATGAATAATGCTGTTTCCACATGTCCGATATGCACGAATCGCCATTACATCCGTCTACAGTGGTAGGTAATGGGCATGATCTATTAGTAACCGTTCGAACAGAATCCCAGAATTTACGTGTGTCACCATGATATAATTTACTAGCCATTTTGTTTGCTTTAATTTGATCATTCCTCCTGCACATTCTAAATGCTAATTTAAACTGCGCACGTGTTTTGCGCATTAGTTCATAAATTACACTTGTGCGCGCTTTGCCATTCGACACCCATAATCTGAACGAATCTCTCGCAATATGGTGACAATCACGAACTTGGTCATTCCACCCCGGAACTACTTTATCCTTCCTAGTTTTAGAATTTGGTATACAATGCTGGGCCGATTGCTCCAACGATGTCACTATATTAGTATATAAATTATACAACTCCTCAGTATGGTTGTCATTAATACAGTTCGGATTACAACAGCTTAGTGCATCCAATATATGTATTAATTGCGAATTAGTTCTCTAAATAAACCAATAAACTAAATGTTTTCTTCATTAATAAAAAAAAATAAAAATAAACAGCATTTTAATAGATAACAGTCTCAACTGTAGTGTTACTTCTATTCATACAACATTACAAGACCCAGCCCAATCCGTAGGCTTCAGACATGATCAATGTTACTATATATACAATTGTTCCATTGACTGACAGACTATCATCGCATTCAGAGTTCAACTTAGAACTTATCCAATGCGAGCTCAATACTTTTCTTGCTTTAGTATGAATCTATTCGTACTCCACTGTCATATTCGGACAAATAACTTTAACAGTGCTGCATTTCTTGTTATGTTGCTCTCTCTGTCTCAAGATCAGTTGAATGTTAAAAAGTAATCATATTATTAATTTTATTTTAAATACCAATATACATTATAATTTCAGATATCATTTTCAATCATGCTTGATCGGCTTTTCCAACTACGATTGTATTAACAACTGTTACAGTTAGTATAATTATATCATACTCAATCAATTAATCTAATGTTATTATTCTCATTCAGACGTGCGCTGCCTCACTGACTAGCACTGATATGTTCTACGTTGATGACCCTATTACAGCGCACGTGACAAGCCTTTGTCTTAATCACAACGTGGGGGAATTAATTCGGAATACCTGTTATTGGATTCTCGATATTGTAGCTATGATTGAAATCTTGAATGTAACAGGTCTGTATGTGTAATGTTGATGTACATGAATAATAGTAATGTCAATGGCTGTGAATAAATGGTATTTTATACAGTGAAGCATATATGGTTATAATTTATTATTTTATAATTTTATTATTTTAAATTAGACTATTTTTTCAATTTGTCGTGTGATTTATACCAAAAAAAACATGTACATTTATATTACTACTCACCTCGATAAAAACAATCCGATCGTAAATGTACAAACAAGATGACATTTTTATTTATTTCTTTTGTTTTATGTTATATATCCCAGTACTATTAGATTATTTTGGATAACTGTAGTGTATTGACCCCGTGTGACCTGAATATGACAGCATCACATTAGCATATCAATGACGTGTAATTTTATATATGGAGATGCTCATTATAATAAAAAGTGTGTTCCTACTTCAATGGCCGACCGGTGTCTGTTTACTAGTTGCTAGTTCTCAATGTACGAACATACATAGCAATAACATTACAAACAATTATTGTTTCCTTGCAAAGATAAACGTGAATTAAAATGATTTAGAACTTATTGATACATTATACTTTGGTGGTGGGGGGTAGAATTTATAGCGTTTACAATGCCACGTAAAAATACGTGCTCGAGTTTTTCTTCAATGATACATCCACAACGTGTTATGCTTGTTGCCGTAACACATCTTTATCTTTATGACAATCTACTCTGAATTTGGCAATATTCATTGACAGGTGACATCCTCTGTGCATTCACCATTTAATTTCCATTGGGAAACAAATCATGCTTACACTGTACGCACGAACCATTAGAAGGGTTACCAGGATCTACCTTACAAGATCAGTCCTAACACACATTTTGTTACAAAAATATTGTCTGCAGATGAACACACAAATATATGACAAAGCGTTAATTTTGCATTTCGTCATTATGGGATATATATTGCGTGTGGTCAATTGCGTAAATTCATAAGCTGGGAAAACAGTGTTTATGCTTATGGTACGTGGCGCTGATGAAATTGTCAATAGAGCTCGTATTGATTTGTTATTGAACTGATAACCGAAACTGTACCTAGCTAGGTTAACGCTGACCATGAATTAAAATTGAACCAATATTATACAGTTAGCATCTGTTTAGTGTACAGTGTGGATATTTTAATTGTCGATCGTTGCTTGGGGCTCACGTGTCGGTCATTCATATATAATAATTCCGATTGGTTTAATATTTGATTGCCTTAACAACAGTAAAAACATTATGGGCATTCCTAACACCACCTTCAATATTCAGGCATTTTGTTACCAAAATCATGATACTGCATAATACTCTGAAACGACATGATATTGATGGGTAAATCTTGACCATCATGCCTTTCTCTCAATTAACGAGGTTTTCGGTCGTCACTAACTACTACAATATTATCTTCCCTTATATATTTTTGACACTCAACCATCGTCAACTTCCCCATTTCTGAACAACTTGAACCGGTTTTATTTTCCAACTCAACAACTAGTTTATCCCGCGACGATCTTTCATAAATTTGGTTGTTCATTCTAATTTAAAGTAAAAGTTTTTTTTTTTAATATCTTTTTGCTATCTTGTGACTTCCCAACCGTCACCAACCGTTACAAGACGTACTCGTCTAAAATGTTGTTTACACACAAAAAAGCATTTTCGAATACAAAGTTTGAAGTTTTCCCTAAATTGAATCAGTACTAGTATATTTTGCTGATCAAAATATAGTTTGCAGCATCGTCGATTTCATGGCATATTACAGTGATTATTTATTTTTTTACCACTACTAATTTTCACCGTATATATTATCATATATACCCCGTCCAAATAATTTCAATGTCAATAGTACAATGTAAATTTCCTTTTCTACAGCGAATGAAATCTCTACAGATAGGTCAAAAGTTTTAATCAAGAATGTAATAACACGGGGAATACATGGAAACTGTCTTGTTGAACAGCAACTTGCATATTCCCTCTAAAACTAAATGGAAGTCATCATGTACGCGATCAGATTAAATGGACGACAAAGTATCTGCGTCAACGTTTCTTTTTTTGGCTACAAAAGGCATTGGGGGCCACAATTTTATACAAGCTTACGTTAGGAGTTTATTGTGGTAACTGCGTCGCCGTCAGTCTACGGCACGTGGACCTCGACGGTGAACGCTAATAAACACCTCGTAACGTGACACTGCACACACACATCTCCAGAGTGTGAGAGTGCATTTCGTTGTCTTTAATATATGGAATCGTTGTCACTGCAATATCATAACTTCTCCTAAATTATCTTTTAAATCTTGTATAATTGTCGTTCTTGCGTACAACTCACACATGCCCACTTAAAATTGAGCATAAGCACCTTCAGCACATTTCTGACCGCTGGTAATACTAGTAACGGAAATTTTATTTGGGTTTCAGCTATAATGCACCGTTTGGTTATACACCCAACATGTTTTCTCGTCTTTCAAACATAGTTTGTTACATTACGATCGATTCAAGCAATATTAATTGCATGTTTTTTTAACCCCAAAACACATTCATTTCTTGCCTTTTTACCTCACAATTGATGAATTCCTATAACTATCTTCCGAGATAACTCATTTGGCATTTATTCAAAACGACAATTATAGCTAAACATTTTTGGGCGAAAACGCAAAATAATGACATAAGCGAGCTTTATTCTTTATAGTATTCTTTATTCCCAAGTGTTGATAGTCATGGGTGAACAAAAATCAAAACTATACATACAGATGCAACTATTGCGGTTAACTATTTTAACTACCCGCGATCAGGTTACTAACCAGAGTTTCAATGTTAGGAACCCAGTAACATGTATAATGATTAGATTGACCCTCTTTGTCAACACGGCAAAAACTTTCTACTCTGTCTGCTGCACCATCATCATCCAGTTTGAACGCAACACTGTCGGACAGCTGTGCTGGACACGTCTATGCAAAAATAAAAACATTACAATAATGTATAAAACTATGGTTTTTGAAAGACTGAATCATAACTGTTTCTAAAGAACTAATTCTAAACATAAAACAAGCACGTGATACTTACAATAAACTTGCAATCAGTAGTAACCCAGTTGCCTTTACGTATGTCTAGCATACAAAATTGGCAATTTGCAACGGAACGTCCCTCTCCCTGTTAGAAGAAGTAAATGTACATTATATAGATGTATAGCAAAATATTTTACAATAATGCTTACGTAGACAAATATTAGTTGAAGTGAAATGTTGAACGTAATTTTAGCTAATTTGCAATGGCGAATTGATATTATTGAGGTAAAATAATAATTTGAAGATCTGCTCACTGATAATTGTAGATGTGGGCATACATGCAATTATTATAATAGAAACTATTCATGTTTATCAAAATATGAATACGTTAAAATAACACTATAACGCAATTCAATATGCATTTATAGGTGACATATAATTAGCTACGTACAACAAAACTAAAAAAATATTGTAATCAATTATGGAAACATTTTTATTGAGGCATATTTAAAATACCTTCACCTAAATGTAGAACACGTAAGGTAAAGTTGTTTACTAACACCCCTAGGAAATCAATATTGAAAATGGCAATCAACATGGTTGCCGTGTGAGGAAGGCTATATAAGGGTTGCAGAATTGCACGATCAAAACAAATAATGTTATACTTCTCTCACTTATTTATTGTTTCATCGTATTATAATTTGCTGTAATTTCAATAAGTTATAAGACGTTTATTCGTCAAAATGGTGGGTATGATATCCATATTACTACTATATAAACTAAGGTCAAATTTTGAATTCCTCGTTCAGTTTAACATGATTTAAATTGATTTTGGAAACATACATACTTTAGGGGGAGCATCGACAGAGTCGAGTACTGATGCTTCAAATGCTACATAACGATACGTGCGCGTGTTATCTTCGAATGGTACATCTACAATGAAGTATGGCCTCTTAAACAACACATCTTTCTTCTCTGCAGTATCCCCTGCATTATTCATTATCTCTGGACAAGGGACCTCCTCTGTGCATTCGCCATTCCATTCCCCCTTTGGAAAGAATGCATGATTGCACAAAACGCAGGAATCATCAGAAGGGTTACCTGGACCTGTATCGCAAGATCCAAAAGCTAAGATGCTCAGCCCGAATATTAATTGTTTTACAATCATTTTACCTGCAAACAGAAAATCAATACTAGTTAAAATCATGTCCTTGCATGTCAATTGTATTAAACACAAAATCTGTCATCCATTTCTCAATCATTCTTGGCTGCATTTTTCTTAATAAGATCATGATCTGTTCTTATGGACAGTCACATGATGATGCTGACAATCTGTTCTTATGCACAGTCACATAATGATGATGATGATGATGATGATGATGATGATAATGATGATGATTTACTGCCTGTTGATTTTTTCGAGTTAGGCTCAAGGAGTAGAAATCTTAAGTTATGGTTTCTGTATTGTTACCTCATCCGTTCTAATTTATGTCATTCGAATTTGATACATATGTTGTCAAGTGAAAGAAATAACATGTTGATGATGTGGCAGTCAGTATATACATTTAAGATATTACGTTGGCGTATGGTGAAAAGATTCGTCATGGGATCATGCTACATTAAAATCGAATTGGCCAACTGTCTACCATTTGTTTAAAAAATTATCTATTACAATAGAAGGGTACTGACCATGCATATTCACTAACATTAAGTTGACCGATTAAGGTAGCGACCCACGCTCGTGGCTATTTTTGAGGTTTTATTATTTGTTTTTGTTGATTTCATGAATCTATGTCAAATTATCTGAATAAGTCAGAGAATGAAATTACGTTTTGAAATTGGAGAAATATGATAAAAACACATGGTATGGCCTAGTATCTATCTACTGGTTGTGCTGTTTGCGATTCAACTTTAATTCGCGGAAAACAACATATTACGATATGCAATATTTGGGAGACGCTGCGTTTGGTTTGACGAATGCGCTAACCACTCTGTATGAGAAGAACCAGTTACTCTACTTGACAGTTGAGCATCGTTGTTTAAAATGTCTGCCAAATTCCGAAATTAAAAAAGTGGTAGATAAATCACAAAGAAACCAATGTCAAAAGAGGCAGCCCTAAAACAAAAATGTCTTGATCACAGACTGTCTGTATGTTTCGATTACTGGTCGCCTCACTGAAGTCTCTTGGAGAGGGAAAGCCGACCGTAGACAATAGTGCCTTTTTGAGAATGACTTAAACTTTAACAACTACACAATTGATTATTTTGTTTTGCCACACGACCAGGTTCAAGTTGGCGCCGTCGCGTCGGACAGAAGTCGCATTATACGAACATGCTAGTAGCTAAAAACACGCTGACTCCCGTGACGTCAAATCTCCCGGTCGGCGCAATTTTAATAAAAAACTTTATGCTGCTCAGCATTTGTCAACTACCGCTTCGTATAATAGCAGTTTTATTTGTAACGACGTGTTCTGTGAAGCATCGTATTCGGATTGTGTTTTACGAGTACAGTGCATCAACACATGCGACCACGGTGTCTTCGCCTTGAATTCAAAATGAGCGAGCACGATCATGTCTTTGCATTGACTCACACACCCTAGATCATCGACATCCCTTGTTCTTCAATTAACCTACAACAACAACGCTGTTTGTAGATACATCACAAATTAAGTGTAGATTATTCTCTAAAACAACACAGGTATGTTTATAAAGGATTAAAAATGGCCGCCGGGTCAATTATTATAAATATACAAAACCTTTTTTCACGTCACTAATTTTGAACGCATATCTAATGATAGAAATGGACTGTAGTTAACATGCGACTAGATTAATCTCTTGGTAACTATATTTCTGTATTGTTACCTCGTCCGTCCTAATTTATGTCATTCGAATTTGATACATATGTTGTCAAGTAAAACAAATAACATGTTGATGGTGTGGCAGCCCGTATATAAATTTCAGATATTACGTTGGCGTATGGTGAAAAGATTCGTCATGGGATCATGCTACATTAAAATCGAATTGGCTAACTGTCAACCATTTGTTTAAAGAATTATCTATTACAATAGAAGGGTACTGACGATACATATTCACTAACATTAAGTTGGCCGATTAAGGTAGCGACCCACGCTCTTTGCTATTTTTAAGCTTTTTTTATTTTGTTGTTGATTTTATGAACCTATGTCAAATTATCAAAATAATAGTTACAGAAAGAGATTACGTTTTGAATTTGGAGAAATATGATAAAAACACATATGACCCATTATTTATCGACTGGTTGTGCTGTTTGCGATTCAGCTTCGCGGAATACAACAGATTACGATACGTTTGGTTTGACGCATGCGCAAACCACTCTTTATGAGAAGCACCACAGGATTATTAGTGTGACCTTCAGTTGTTCTACTTGAAAAGCGGAGCATCATTATTTAAAATGCCGAAATTACAAACGTGGTAGATAAAACAAGAAGATACCAATGTCAAAAGTCAGTCCTAAATTTAAAATGTCTTGATCACAGACTGTCTGTATGTTTCAATTACTGGTCGCCTCATTGAAGTCTCTTGGAGAGGAACAAGCCGACCGAAGACTACAGTGCCTTTTTGAGAATGACTTAAACTTTAACAACTACACAATTGATTCTTTTGTTTTGCCATACGACCAGGTTCAGGTTGGCACGTCGCGTCAGACAGAAGTCGCATTATACGAACATGCTAGTAGCAAAAAAAAAAGAACGAGTCTTTATTATAATACTTGCCCGAGTTGCGATTTTAATAAAAACCTTTATACGGCTCAGCATTTGTCAACTACTGCTTCGAATAATATTAGTTTTATTTGTGAACGACGTATTCTGTGAAGCATCGTATTCGGATTGTGTTTTACGAGTACATTGCATCAAAACAAGCGATCACGGTGTCTTCGCCTTGAATTCAAAATGAGCGAGCACGATCATGTCTTCGCATTGAATGTAACACACCCTAGATCATCGACATTCCTTGTTCTACAATTAACCTACAACAACAACGCTGTTTGCAGATACATCACAAATTAAGTGTAGATTATTCTCTAAAACAACACAGGTGTGTTTATAAAGGATTAAAAATGGCCGCTGGGTCAATCATTATAAATATTCAAAACCTTTTTTCACGTCATTTGTAAATGCACACCACAACAAAAGTAGAGTAAAAAACACATATTTTATTGCAAACAGAAAACTGAATAAAATTTGCACTAACTACAAAATACAAAGACTGTAAAAAAGGCTGGGCAGGGGGCCCCTTCGATCGGTGGATACCAAGGTCACGCAGGACCAGGGTCACACAAGGTCAAGGATTTCTTGCAAGAGCCGAAAATGTGGGGGTGGCCATGAAAATGGCCGTCGCGCCCTTTAATGGGGGGCAGGATGGAATCCTTAGTCCAGCCACTCGACAAAAGGAGCCACACAGGTAGGATGAAGGGGTAGGTGGTGGGATACCGAAATAGAGCCAGCAAAGCGTAGCAAACTATGAATGAATGGGGAACAAAGAAATTTTAAGAAAATAAATGACGCTGCGTGCCGAGTGCAAAATAAAGACTGATTGGTTAAACAATATTAACCAAAGGAACAACTCCCTGGTGGACAAAGGTCAAAGGTGACTGAAATCGAGGGGCACGTTGCTTAGTGCATTTACAAAAATAGACACTTTACAAATCTCCACCTAATTTTGAACGCATATCTAATGATAAAAATACAAACTGTCTGGAAAGAGTGTTTAAAAAGAAGTTAAATTGTGAAGCCACAAACGCGAGTTCCGACTTTAACGGCCATAATATAGCGTAAATACAATACGATCAAGCATTTATTTTATTACAGATATAATATAACTTCAAAGACCACCAAAACCCGAAGAGATAAACTTGCCCAGTCTGAGATGAGAGTGATTTGAGAATCTGAAGAGAGTGATAAAAAAAAACTCAAACTAAACTGGCAAATCAGAAACATTACTATAAGGACAAATTAGAAAAGCCAAATATAATGTTATTGTTGTCGCTCTGATTGAAAACAAATCTAGGAAATCAGACACAGTACAATCTTGCTATGCAGTGAGAAACGCAATGAAACCGTGATGTATTAATTGTCTATATTAATTGACGCACATATTTACACTCGGACCAAACCATTTTCTTGGATGTTTTTGTTTTTTTTCATTTTCTGTTATTTTTGTCCGTGATTGGATAGAACAAAAATACTCCATGATTTGTTTGACTTCATTAAAAAATTAAATCGTTTTCGCGGGATGAAAACTTTTTGAGGTCAAAACCACCCACCCCAAAACTAAAGCAAATACGTTTTTATCCGACATCGATCTTTTGACGTTGTCCCTAAACGAACATACACATATCAATATACGGAATACGGAATTCATTCTCGCACACGCGGCATATAATCATCCAACCATGCTAACCGCCCTCCCAAAATCAACACAAAACGGACGTGTTGTATTTTAACTGTACACATGGACAACATAATTTCCGTGGTTCAGTGCTAACCAATAAACTTATTTTCATCCAGGGGACAATATAGTTCACAAGCAAAGAATATGTAAATAATTTTAAGCTAATGTACAAACACAGCAACACGGGATACTAAGTAGCACACGGCTGTAGAGCCCACTACTGCAGACAAAAGCGATAACCATTCAATCATACCAAAAAAAAGAAACATCTAGAAATATCCTGTAGTAAACACGCATCTCAGTAACTACATTGGAACACATATAAGCTGAATCACGGAAAACACAAACAACGTATAGTATGTTAACTAAACACTTAGTATTCCGGGTTCAGTTCAAAATGTAAGCTAATGATTATTCTCGGGTAAAATACAGTCCACCATCGGAGACAATCGACACGCAACATGAGATTCGTCTATACTTTTGTTCACCATGTTAAAGGTCGATGAGCGTCGTGCAGCGCGTCTTCAAATTGCATGTAAACAAGGTAATTTATACGCGTTAAGTACATGGCTATGATTCTCATATGGGACAGGGCACGACGCGACAACCACGTCCTTTAAAATAAAAGGGCTTCAGCGGAAATGCAGATCAACATAAAATCATATTAATTAACGTACATATACTCTGACCTCTAATATACTATGCAGTGAAATTGTGTCTTATTTTGTCATATCACTTCCTATATTTATGTCGTTTTGATGTAACTTGAATTCGACCTCTGTGTTTCATCATATTACATTTTTATTATTGTATGTATTATTTATTCATACTGTCAAAATTAATAGTATTACAAAATGATAAAACAGTACAACATCTCGTAATGGAGACCTACTGAACAAACTTGCACAGCCTTTGTTGAAAACTACTACAAGGGGAGATGTGTTACCAAATAAAATTCATTACCTAAAATCAATCTCAAATAAAATAATTGTTTTGGCAGAAGGTCAGTTTCACTGTACGACGATTATACACACATGCATACATACAAGAAAACAGACCTGTAATGTGTCAAAAAACAATTAGCAAGATTACTAACCTTGGATACAGTAGATCTGGTGAAGTGAAAGCCACTTTTTATTTGTTCCAGTGTTGTGTTGCTAAAGGCAGTATGCTCTGTACACGTAAACACCACGAATTTAATGTTAAAATATACTTACATCCTACCATCACATGTCATGGATATATTTATACCATTTTTTTACTAACGTCATCACAAATCTAGTATAACTACTGCGTGGGCAGTCGTGACATTTACCGAAAACTCTGCAATGTGCCAAATAAGTCATCAAAGATGTCAACACCTCCTAAACGAACATTTTCTAGCTCTCCAATATGTAACATGTAGCATGTTGTCCAGATAAGGAAAAAGTTCCTGACGGGTAAACCAATTTCAAATTCTACCGGATTCAGACTCAATGGGTAGGCTGAAGGCGATGATTAAAAGCGGAAGGCTCGTCACCTGCGCAAGCGCGGGAATTGAGTCCCACGCTAACAACACCCGCAAAGGCTCATGGGCAGACGCTTGTTTGTAAACAATGACACGCTATGGCCATATGACGCAGGCGCCGCTGACGTCTCCCCGCTTTAATATGTGAAAAAGACTTTTGATTATGGAAACCAGTAGATTAATTTGATTGCAATTTACTGTCCTAAATTTGTGATCAATAGGCCACTAGTCTGCCTGAATTCTAATTATCATTAGCATGTGATTTTTATAATACCACATGAATAGAATCTGGTTGTCCAGTCTTGAATGACAAGCAACAGCTTCCTACCCCAGTATATGTCGAACAAAGCCTATACACAATAAAATAACTATAATGTTGTACCGAATTATGAACAATTTCTTATAATGATACTTATTTTATTAATAAGAACTTATTTTAATAAGTAGGAACCATCAGTTACAGATGGAGGTCTGTATGCGCTCGAGTGCTAACATTGTGTTATTATACGTCTGTCACTGTTGCGCCATAAGTTACAGTACTGGGTATTTTCATCCTACCATATTAGGAAACGCGAATTCAAATCATGGAACGATTACGTGCTTAAGCGTTCTCTAATAATAAAAAAACATGGCTGCCTCAAGGGTTTGACCGGACCCCACACAAAGAAGTTACCTATATCTGTAAATCTGTAAAAAAAAAAAACAGTACGTGTTCGCATCAACCTCAGCTGGGCGACGGTCGACACTCTCGCTGTACTGTCTTCGGCATATTTTGCAGTATACTCGAAATAACCTCATAATGGTATTCGAAGTATTATTTCTCTGCCACAGAAGCTTTGTGTACAGAACATGTCACCTACGACATTACGGACTACCTGGGTCATGTCAAATCTTGATCAAATAGTCTAGTAGAAATACACAACTTGCTTCCCATTGGGCTTGTGCATTTAAAATCAGTCATTGTGGGAACATGCTCATTTTTAAGTACACTGGGAAGCTCGGCAACGTGCAGGCGAAAGGCAATGTATTCAAATTCAAATCCCTCGTTGTTTATGTGTTCAATCATTCATACACACTCATTTTTGTTTTTGTGGCTCATTGACTACACGATATGTCTGTTCAAACTTAATATCGTATTGTATGCCCTTTCAATAACAATGGCGGCCATGTTTGGCATTTTTCAATAATGATGAGGGCAATCAATGAGCACAACGACACGCTGACATTGGCAATATTAATATGCATCATCCAAATTGCAAATGTATCGCGAGTGACGCATTTGTGAAACTATATTCCAAATTGTGACGATTATTGTACACTCAAATCATTTGCAGCTCGTCTTTTGCATCATCCTGACCGTAAAATAACTGATTATAAACAGTTTGTGACGATCGTAATAATAAAATGATTCCTAATGCTAAAAAACATGCCTGTGATCACAATGAAATTTAAAAAAATTGTTATCAGATACGTTATATACGTAAGTAATTTGCATACAAATATATTCCCCACTTGAAAAATGGGTTTAAACAAAGAAATCTTGTTGGTGAAAATAAAAAAAACAGAAATGCACAACGTATTCGCTACCACATGGCGAACATTGCAGATCGTTAGCTCCTACTTCATGAAATGTTGATTTCAACTATAAACTGTAACTAAAACAAATGCATGTATGTAACCGAGACGGAATGGCGTGCAGATCATGCAGTAAAAACCAACAAGCTCGCCTAGTCACCTAGAATATCATTGGTATAGATACACCAAGATGGCGACCACAGAAACACTTCAATCAAGTTTTCTAGATGAACTGACGTACTACAAACACATGTAGAAATAATTTAGTTACGTGTATTGCGCTATTTACAGTAATAATTGATCAAGGGCGCATATTATAAATTATAACCAACACAATAGCTTTTTGTATCTATGACGGGAAAACACCATTGGATAATGAAAAAATAACAATAAGTTTAATATAACCTCCAAATTTTATCAATACACTGTTTTAACACTCTTGTAGGAAGGAGTAAGGGTCACAAAACTTGTGGACGATAGTTTAATGTTTTTCTTAAAACAGCAGTGTCAATAAAACTATATCTTGTTACAATAATCTTGTAACTGAAAAAAACACATTACCTGACATTTCCAAAGGTGAACATTTTCTCTCATGTGTTATTCAATGTTCATATCATTCATAGTTGAATACAACCATGACTGTCGCACACACAAAAAAAACACTTCTGTTAATAACAGTAGCACACATCAATTACTTTTACCCGCTGTTCCAAGTTCATATTACTTAGTAGACTGGAACGCCTAAGCCTTATAGCATCAGTATTGTTACAATCATCAGCATGAAGATTGAGATTACCAGTAATTAACAAATTACGAGAATACAAGCAAAATGATTCAAAGCGTGAAGAGAATTTGGTCAAAGACGAACTAAATTTTATTTTGGGCACAATGGAACAAGCGTTTCTGTACATTAACATTCTAAAAGAAAACTATAAATGGGGACAAATCATAAGACTGTTTTGTACTATACTCAATATTTTTTAGCTTTAAAGACCCTTGTGCAGCACAGCCAAACTCCCACCACAACGATCATATGATGAACATCTAATTTGTACCCATATAGAGAGAAGTGATGTGTCATCACCAGGTTTTAACCACGTTTCTGTGGCTACACAAATATCCACCTGCTTTGATTTTACTAAACTCAACTATAGAATGAGTTTTATTCCTGATAGACTGAGTGTTAAGAGTACATAAAATCAGGACAATGCTCATGTGGATAATATGATTCCTCGAGTATAGATGGAAAGTCGGCTTGATGAACAAATCGCAAGAATAGATTTCTAGCAGCCGACTGACACTTCCTGCCAAATACCTAGCCTAATATCTCTCCTGACACATTCCAAAGTCAGTTTTTTCTTGTTTGTGTCCACCATGCCCTCGTGAACAACATGTTAGCCTCATCGAATGACTTGTATGGCCTTTGAATGGGTTCTGTCTCTCGGCTCCGAAAATGTGAGTTTCGGCCAACCTGGTGAACAGTTTCTTGATAAGGCGGGTCAATACCATAATTGTGCCCTTAATTGTCTTCTAGTAGATATACGTCAACTAAACAAGATGTTATCAACAATTACATTACTTCCATGAACAATGTCACGACAGTTATTTTCAAAAAACTTGATAAAATTATAAAGAGATATTTGAAACATTTTAACAAAACTCATCTAGCTGACCAAAAAAGCATATTACACAAAACATATCAACCTTTATGTGCAATTATTATATTGTACTCAGACCTATAACAGGGTTTTATAAAGTGTTAACGAGATAACATAAACCGAGTGAGTATAGGCAAATGAACATATTTAAAAACATACGACATGGGATGGAAATTTGAAAACACGGCAGAGCGCTTTTGATGTGCTCCCCGTGTGTATCCGAAAATGAACAGTGGTAATAAAATTGCGTGGCTTTCAATGTTTGAAGTCCGTTTTACCATTGAATTCTGACGAATATTGCCACAATCCCAACCAAAATCACTAGAAGAATTGTCAGTGGACGTCGTGTTGAATGGGTCCATTTTGAATCACTGCAAATTAATATTGTCCCAACCAGTCAATAAACCCGTTATACTAATTATTTCGTTACTCACCTAGCAAATGAAAAAATGAAACCTGAACTATTCCCATTGTAAACCACAACAATCATGAACCTTAGTTAGAGCATATGGAGAAACAAAAAAAACAAAAAACGTTTGTTCATAGTCCACATTGAGAAAAAAAATGTATGCGAGTGTGTTATATAAGCTCGTATAAGCTTATCTGATCTGTAAGGTCGCATGGTAAGATTCAAACATTTACTATTTCGTATTTTAATTCCTTAAATTTATTCTATATTTGTATTCATTACTTCCACTAGATGTGCTCTGACGTCCATAAAAACTATATAAATATATCAATGACATTTGAGGGTAAGTATTTATACTTTATTATTTTGCATTCTTACGGACAAAGCGTGTTGTTGAGTAGAAGGAAGAACTGTAACAAAGACTGGAGAAGAAAGTCATTTCATTTAAGGTACTATAGCTATAGTTAGTAATTTTGTTTTATTCATAACTATCTTGTATTTGTGAGTATATAATATACCTTCCAGTGTGACTGATCTCAGGTTGCATCCATGCATGTTTTTGTCAAGGAAAATGGTGTTGATAATGAATATCGCTTTGAAGGAGAATTGTGCGTAATATATTTCGAAAAAAACTGTGGATGAGTGCATCATGTGTCATGATACAACTTTTTAAGACCCTGCAATCGAAATCTAAAAACATGTGTCATATTCATCTCTTCCACAAATGGCCACTGGGATTTCGTTGATTGAGTCACGTGATTTCGACCCTCAAAAATGGTGTCATTTTCTACTTTCATTACTTTTACTGTCCTCTGCCCTCTGCAACCATAGCATTTTTAATAGCGACAGTGATGACGGTGGGGGGGGGGGGGTCTCGAGGGACAGAGACAGAAACAAGTCATGTCGCGGTGAAAATTATTTGTTAATACATGTATTGTTGGACTATCAAACTGAAACGCACAATGTGTTGAACCTAATTTTACTTAGTTCAAAGAATTCAAGCCTTGTTTCAAGTTCATATTTTAAAAATCAAATTTCGCCTATAATTTCTATAAAC